AGAGATAGTTGTTTAACCTAGCTATATATTCAAGCATGAGAGGATGAGGTCAAGAAAGATGGAGATTTTTATGCATATAAACTTTAGAAGCTGTTTTGAATATCTGCTAAAATTAACTGGGAACTGCAGAGATGATAAAGATGGAGGCTTTTGATCTAGATATTCTAATTTATGGTGTGAGCTGATTTTTTAGAAATTATCAGTTTTCCAGTTTTTCAATAGGGACTGAGCATCACTAAAAATTAGTTGGGGTTGATGTCTGAGCAAGCTCTTGCCATGGAATGTATGAGGAACAGAGATTAGAGACTGCATCTAGTAATTAAGGGAACGTGGAAGAGATGCAAGATGGATGATTAGAGTTTCTTGTGGTCCAAGGCTTGAAGAAATCTGAAGAAAACGAAATCTTTTTTGCGTTCGGAAAATACAAAAACGCTAGGAGCAGTTGGTTTTAATTAATTGCAAAGGTGAAAATTACTCATGGGGATTTCGAGCTCAGTAATGTTCCTCTTAGTTCAAAGCTTGGAGATGTTCTGGATCTGATACATAACACAAGGAATGCTGCAGAATCAATTCTGAGATGGGTTATTCAAAGCAACATATGAGGATTCAAAAGTCACCCGATGGAGCGAAACTTTGTGAAGATCGTTAGTATGCTACTGTCTTGCCATTCAACGGTTGGATTGAGATTTCAACGGCTGGTTTGTGTTCTGTTCGAGCTTATTCAACCTTCTCCAGAGCAGGAATTGTTGCAGGTCTCATGAAAGGGTTTGTGATACAAGGTGTAAAGCATGGAAACGCTCGACAGGCATTTACTACATGATGGGGATATCGAGCAGTTTGAACCATTTTCAGAAGTTAAATGAAGAAGAAATTACCAGTATATGCAGCAAGGTCAATTATTTGCAGTGGTCTCTGATTCACTAAAAGAGAAGCTATGATAAGTTTTGAGTTTCAGGGATATCTGTGAAGTCTCAGGCAATCAAAGACTTGGAACGAAAGCAAAGGTTATTATCTGGTGGGGAAGAAACTGAGGAATCAAAGTCAGAAACTGGGTAATAAAAGCCAGAGCTAGTGCTGCTTGGGTGTTACCCCTGCGTTAAAGTTCAAAGTACGGTGTCGTGCCATTATGTGTGAATCTCTTGGTCAGCAATCCTAAAGGGATCAAAACTGGTTAGAACACAAGAGTTGTTACTGGAGTGAGTTTGTATTGAAGCAAAATAATTATATGATGGAAGACTAGGGTCTAAAAGGAACACAAGAATTTATTGCAAGACTAGAGGAGAGTTTTTCAGATTTCAGTGCTGCTTGTGGAAATCACTTTAGACAGTGTGTTCTGTTGAGGCTCTAAATGTGCCTTTATGTAGCAGGTACTTTGGTTGGATTTGTGCTCATTTTTGGTTGTTCTGTTTTCGTCACAGGAAAGATGGAGTGTTATTCTAAGAGAAACCTATCAAGACTTTGTACGAAGTCGTGTTTGTATCAATTGTTATGATTCATCTTGCTTAAAGGACTTATGATCAGATCTGCAAGTATCGTCATGGTCTCTACAGAGTTTCAGTTAAGTGATTATTATCAGTGAAGCATTCATAGGAGATCATCTTGAAGTCAATATAAGCAAGGCAATCCAAAGAAGCTGAATCTTTCGAATGTATTGATACCGAGAATAGCAGCAGATTCATGACTACTGAAGGCAAAAGGAAAACTGATATTTGTCTCAAGTACCAGCGTCTACATTACTTAGGTAAAGGTTAAAGTGTTTAAGCACCTGTTGCAGCAGATACTTGATTTTGCTTTTAATGCTCACCAGAGCGGGGGGAAGATGAACTCATGATCTCAAGATACAGTGTATGAATGTGTGGAGATGTCGCTTCATTGGAACTTAGCTATATCACCTAAAAACTCATAGACAATGGCTGGAAATTTGTGAGATCAAAGTGAGAAGATTGAATCAAAGCTTAAACATCAAGCACTACCGTTTTGTGCTTCTAGTGATAGTCTCCTTTGCAGGTTACTGAAATTCTGAAAGAAGTTAGGGTCTCGGGGATTTCTACAGCGTCTCAGTCATTCTCTGTGATTTTAGAAACATCTTGAAGAATTAAAAAAAAAAAAAAAAAACACTGAAGATTGCAGGTTCATGGTTCAAGTTGATGCAGGCTTTCTGAATTGAAGCAGAGTTTTATATTTAGCTATGAACTAGAAGAAGATGTCAAACTAACAGGTCTGATGTTTGAAACTCCACGGCAGTTTCTGAAGTGGTTAATACTTTGTGCATGCTGTCTCGTCACAGAGAACCAAGAGTTCCGTGAAGATGAGTTTTTGTTGAAGTAATATATGGAGAAAGAGCATATCCATTGCAATAAGAGTCTATGAGATTCTCAAGATGTGAAACCAAGAATTAGAAAAGATCAATTTGAGACAAGCAGCAGGTTTTAGATACGTGGAGGATCTTTGTGATGAAGCAAATGTGTGTATGCGTGAATTGTCATCAGTAACAGATCTCAAGAAGGCTGATGTATCAAGAGAATTCACCAGCAAATGCATTATTTTAGTATTGACTCAGAATAATGAAGATCAGAATAGTCTCAGTGGTTCTCAAAAGATCAAAAGGATACTTATGTTAAGCTGTTGGTCCTTGATGTTATTGCTTAAGAACGGCTACTGCATCAACTAGAAACTGTTCTGTGCGTACGACAGGCTCAGATCCTGTACTATTGGCGACAGCGGTGTCTGGTTGATGTCAGGACAGCTGATACTATGCGATTATCATCTACGAAGCCTCATCTTATTGTTAAAGCTGAGATACCCAGGTTCCAGTACTGCTTTCAGGAATGTCTTTGAAAAGTGTGTGATTGTGGCGGGCTCAGATTCTGTCCTTATGCAGTTGGCGTTATGGTTTTAGTTTCTAGGCTTGTGATGCAAGAACCTGATTTGTGCTCATGTGAGAAAAAAGCTGAGTACAAATTCTGTTAATCAGAGAAAAAAAATTGTCAAGAGCTGGAAGATTCATAAGATGGAAGTGGACCAAGCGGGGATCTTGATAGTAAAATGTTCCTTCACAGACTTGATCAAGAAAGACTGAGATTCTGGGGAAATATTTTTCTGCTCTGGACCATAAAACTTCAGAGGAGTAAAGTGAAGAGTACAATTTTGAAGCAACAAGGTTAAAGTCAATGGGTTAGTCTCTAGTTTGGAAGGGATGATAAGTGTTAAAGCTCATGTGGTTGTTTTCCCAGAAGAAAATCAGAGATTAGTTCTAATGCTTATGAGCCAAGTTCTGGGTTAAAGGTTCTGATTAGCTCCTTCGCATTATTCGGCAAACATTACGGCTGAGAAAAGATGTGTAGAAGACATAAGTACGTAACTTGGTGAATATATGTTTCCACGTGATTTTTTTGTCTTAAAAGCTGTAGAACTGGTGCTGGCAAGAGATAGAGACGTTGGTGCATCTATAATTCAGAGAACTAAATGGTGCAAAGACTACATACCTGGTTACACGAGAACATTTAGTGACATGACTCGCCTTCAACATGGAAATATACTCGATGACTGATCTGTTTTCAAGGAAGTGGTCAATTGTTTTGGGTTTTAACTTAGTTATGCACTCAAGCAGGGAGAGAAGATAATGAGAATCTGATTTACGAGCTTATTGGGAGCAAAACGCATCAGGAAGTTAAAGCTAAATGCATACAGAACTTATTTTGTAGTTGGGTTGCAGTGGGTGTATGATCAAGGGAGAGTTTTAGACAAACTGAAAGAATGTGCCTTTGTTCTTGTATCTGATCACACACGAGACTAGTCAGATGTCAAAGATGCGCTAAGAACCTATGTTTGAGTATCAAACTAAATTAAAAAGGGAGAGAATGGAGAATCTTGTTATTGGCACTTCCAGATGATGTACCGAGAAGCATTGAGTGTGTGTTCTTGGATTCTAAAACTCAGTCACCAAGGGAGAGATTGTAGTGTTGTGTTGACTAGTTTGAGAAGGTGTTTAGTTTGAGAAGATGCTTTGTTTCTAAAACGCAGTCATTAAGGGAGAGATTGAAGATGTAATGCTGACTGGTTTGAGAAAGTACTGAAACATGTCTTGAAGATGTAGCATACGTCTGTAGTGTTTCATGTGCTTTATCCCGAAGTAGTACATGAAGTGGTCCAAGAAGTTATTCAAGAAGTCATTCAAGAAGTTAAGCTGTGAGGCGAATGCAGAAATATATAAGTGGACAACATGGGTTGATTTATACAAGCCAGGACGTGGCTACTGAATTAAGAAAACATCTTAAATGATATATTTAAGATGAGGGAGAATTTCCTTATTCTTAAGAGAAGAAAAATGAAAGATTGCTTAGAAACCCTAAGGTGTAAGGTTTAGCAATCTTATAAATACCAGGAGGCCGTCAAAGAAAAAGGTACGTGCCCAGGGTATTCTTGAAAGAGGCACACAGGTGTGTGGTGTCGTCCCACCAGACAGATGTTGAGATCTGTTGGTGGTTTAGTTATAGAGAACTATGCTCTTCATAAAATCAATGAGTAGTAGTTGCTCTAACCATTGTAATCTAGATAAGAGTGGTAGGCACAAGTGTGTGCTAGATACCATATAGCAATTGTAGGTTGCGGCCTTTTCTAGTGAATGGTTTCTGGACGTGGTCCCGGGGATGTAGGAAGCGAACCTCGTTAACAAATCTCTATGTGTTCTTTACTTTATGCTCATAAATATTTTATATGCAATTGAACACATAGCTTTAGCCGCAAATATGCACTTACAGGTTCTTGATCCCTTCCCTCGTGACCAGTACGTATATTCTAGTGGCATGTCTTTGAAAGGAGACACTTACTTTGTTGCTGGAGATAAAGAAACTGGCTGCTTTTGATGAAGTTTGATTTCACAACAGAGAGATTTGTGCGTCTCCCTCTTCCATTCCAGAGTTATGCATATTTAGATACCAAGATTCTTTCAGTTGTTAGAGATGAAAAGCTCTCAGTGTTACACATTGATAACATGTCAGATGTGATGAGGATATATGGGTGACCAATAAGGTTGATGATGAGGCCAGAGACTTGTCGTGGAGGAGTGACTTCTTCTTGAAAGTGGATTCTGCTAAATTTAACACTGATAATGTGGAAAGCTTCTTTTTGGACGAGGAGAATAAAATAGCACTGTGTTGTGATTATGACGTAGTGGAAGGTGGACATAAGACCATAATCTACATTGTTGGAGAGGATATGTTTAAATAAGTTTATGAAGATACTGCTTCTCCTCTCAATTGGCTATTTATCCTCAGTTATGTTCCAAACTTGGTTCCCATTCAAAAAAGTACACCTTAAATGGATTACTCTTCTTCAGCACCGTCTTAAAAAATCTAAAGACCTTAGGCTAAATATAAAATAAAGACCCTTTTATAGTATTTAACAAACAAAATGGACTTTGATAACTAGTAAAATAACACCTAAAAATTTGTTTGGACCTATAGACCCATGGCATTTGCCTATGTTGCCATGGGTTAGAGCCGGCACTGCTTCTTTCTTCTACCTTTTGTCTTCTTTTGGTCTTTTGTGATGATGTTCTTCTGGTTTGTTTCGGTTTGAAATGATTTTCTTGTTTCGCTTTTGTGTATTGGTCCTATACTCATCTCTGATCACGTGTTCAAATACACTGTTCTCTGTTTGTGCCCACTTTCACTTAAAATGCTAGTTCTTGGAGAGAATGTCATCACGTAAGCAGAATCTTATTCATCGATTGAGAGTAAACAAGTCAATACCAAACTAGTTTCTTGTTCAACATCGAACCTGTCCTAAAAGATGTTTTTAACTCGATTCAAACCTGATATGTAGTTAGTTTGGTTAGGTTACAAGTTATATACTTCCTAATATACAAAAAACAAACCGGAATCCAAATAAACCGAAAAAGAGCCAATTTGTAAACCAAACGTTTGAGGGTGAAGATTAATTAACTTAAGCATTCCATAATGATTGATTGAGAGACCATGTCTTAGTTTAATGTATCATCAGAAGACTAGTTTCTTTTCCACCTTCCATTGCTCCAACTCCATGGAGCTTAACAGGAAGGAGCTTGCGTTTTTATGACCACCACCTCCGAATATCTGTGAAACCTGTGTTGTGTCTTCTTCCGCAACACTCCTCAAACTTATTTTCAGTTTGGTCTCATCCTCAAGCTCGGGGACTCTGTAAACAACAGCTCCAATGCCTCGTAATCTCATACGCTTGCTCTTCTCCGCCAATTGATTCCCCAATTCGCTTCTAAGCTCTGCAATATCATCTGCATTTACAGCCAAACACCGACCAAACTCTTCATCACCTCCAAGAACAATCTCATAGGACCGTTCTAGCGCCTCCTGAATCAGTTTATGCTTCCTAGACAAACTCTCTTTCCCTCTGTTGATCACACTTTCATGATCCAACGAGAGTAGCTGCTTAAACAGTGACTGGTTCTGATTGAAATCGTATTCGATCCCTAAGTCTACTATCCCACTGTTGAACGCTTTGCTCTCTGGTAGTTTCCACTTCCAGATATCCGCGTCTTCAATGTACTCGAAAACACGCCTCATTCTCTTGAAATCATTCATCTCTCTGCAACTTCCCTTAGATTCTTCCATTAGCTTCTCAGTAAAATAGTCAAACGCAATGGTGGCGCCGCTTCTCTCTATGTCCAAGACTTTGGTAACGTTCTTGCAAGTGGAAGAGACATCTCCGAGGCTCTCAATAGCGGTCTTATGGTGGTCGAGGATGACTACATTGTCGACGTTAGGAGACACTTGTTGGACAAAACCGGGGGGTCCTGTGAAATCAAGAAGATAGAGATGGCTGATTTCTTGAAGAGGAAGCTGGCTGATTGTGATTGGAGAGTAGACTGCGTTTGGGAAGAAAAGTGAAGGGATTGAGTTTGCTGAGAAGTAGAGATGAGCAGCCAAGGCGGCGAAAACACCATCATGGCAAGGATAATGGTAGAGAACCGCCATTTTCTTTGGTACCATCTTCACTCCAAGATTCATTCCTGAGACCAAACAAAAATTAAAACCTTTTGTAGACAAAAGAGCTCTACGCTCATGTGAAAAGAGCTAATCCGAGATGACTTTCGCAAATACACTGATAAAAGTTCTAATGCAGAAACAGTTATCAAACCAGATCATTCACAGAATAAATTTGTTTATCTCGCTAAGAGAACTAATGAGTTTGTGGAAAAAGGATAGACTAGAGAAAAGTACCGAGCAGAGAGAAGCAGTAGCCGATGAAGAAAGACCTTTCTCAGACAAAACTTACCCAACTACTAAGAGAAAACCACAACCTGAAACATAAGTAGGGTTCTCGTGCAGTGTGAATGACAAAAACACCCTTACATACCTCTATTCCTCCTTCGGCTCTGTTTTTAGGTCTTAGGTAGCATCAACTTCATGTTTAGTAACAACAACGGATTTCGAGCTTGTTTTGCATGAAAATTCAGTCTTGACTGGGACTAGGACTATCATCAACTGAAGAAATCCAATTGTCTACCAACGCCACTAAATCAATAATGCAGTCAGTGTCTGCAAATAATCTTCAGCCCAATGCCCACACAACAAGGTTCACAGAAACACTAACATTGCACGAAAAGTGACCTTACGGCATTGTTGATAAAGGACCCTCTTCTTTCAATGTTTTTAACAACATATTAACAGGTTCCGATATCACAGGTTCTTTGCAAACTGTAGGCATTATTACCGACCAAAAATCTGCATCAACAGCATTCTCTTTATTAAGGCTACTGATAACTTTACCGAGAATATCCAACCTTCCACTCTCACATAGCCTTTGCAGAAATCTCTCTAGCCTATCCCTGCGAGGCTTGTAGCCTTTGAAAAGCATTTCGTCCAAGACAACCGCTGCTTCTTCGAATTGTGACCCTTCGCAAAGCCCATCGAAAACTATCCTATAAGACAATATATCAGGGACGCAACCCCTACGAGGCATATCTTCAAACAAGTAAGCTCCTTCTTTCCAGTTTTGGATTCTAAACAAGGCACCAAGTATCATGTTATAGCTTATAACATCTGGTTTCAAACCCTTTTCAACCATTTCATCCAGAACTCGATAAGCTGATTCCAAATCATTCTCAACACAGAACCCGTTAATCAGTACATTGTAAGTCACTGTGTCCGGTTCACACCCTTTTCCTCTCATTTCCTCCAAGATCCCTGAGACCTCGTCTGACCTTCCAGCTTTTATAAGAGAGCTAATCAAGGTAGAGTAGATAGCTGAGTCTACTTTAATCTTTCCTTGGTAAGCCTCATCCTTTAGCTTAAACGCCAAACTCAATTCACCAATCTGACATAACGCCTTGATCAGCGATGCATAAATATGAACCGTGGGACACACTCCATACACTTTCAACATATCATGCTTCATCTTCAATGCTTCCTTCACCTTAGAAATCTTGCAAAACCCATGAATAAGAGTCCCGAAGGTTACGCCAGTGGGTTTAACCTTCTTCTTGACCATTTCATCGAATAGCTTCAAGGCATCATCGAAACAACCGCTTTGAGAATACCCATTGATTAATATATTGTAAGTACAAGCGTCTGGCTTACCATACTTATCAATACTCGAGAGAACTTCCTTCATCTTGTCGAAAGCTCCGCACTTTAAGAGCGCATTCAACAGAGAGTTCACGGATTTGACAGTGCGTTGGCATCGGTACTGAGGCATTTCATCAAACACGTGGAGTGCACGAGTGGGTAATTTTCCACGGCCCAAGTAATTGATAACGTTGCAGAAAAGAATCTCCGTTGGGAGGATTCTAGTATCGGACTTGAGCTGGAGGAGGACCTGGTCTAGCTCCTGAAACATCTTGGAGCCACCAAGTTTTGTGATGATGAGATCGTAGCAAAGAAGCGAGTATCTGAAGGCTCTTTTTGGGTTTGATGATTCTGGATCAGGGTTTTGAAAAAGCTTAATGGCGGCTGAAGGATCATTCTCGCGGCGGAGGAGAGAGGCGAGCCTGAAGGAGGAGACATTTTTCACGGCGGACATGGTTTTCGCTTGGTAATGTAGCTTTTTCTTCTTTCTTTCTTTTTTTTTTCTTAAATCCAAGAACAAACGTTTGTTAAGTTTAAAACTAATGATATGCATATAAACACACAGATTTAGTGCAGATTATCTCTTATTTATTTTGCAGATAGGATCGCATTTATGTTCCAATCACCATTAATTATACAGAACAAAATAAAACGATAGAGGACTGCATGCAGATTAGGCTTGAATGAAAAAAGCAAATCAGAAAATACAGATCAAATGCAGTTCAAGTTAATTTAATAAATTATAAGATTTAAATAACTGTCAAATATTTTTAATTAAAATTAAATAGCTAAACAAAATAAAACTTATTATAAATAAAAAATAAATATCATGTTGACACAAATAAAAATAAATATCAATCATCTTAATAAATATATGAAATTTTAAATTATATGAAAATTCATCACAAATAAAAATTATAAAAAGTATTCTTGTTTACTTCTGCAGACGTTCCTAGGATATTCTGGTCATCAACATACACTGATATGATTACAAATCCTTCGTCGAATTTACTTATGAATATGCATGACCTGATTGGATCATTCTTATAGCCCTATTTCACTAAGTACTCGCTTAGTTTATTGTACCATATTCTATTGTTTCAATCCATAAAGTGACTTATTCAACTTTATACACATTACAAGAAAATAGCTTTATTGCAACGTCCATTTTCGTTAATAATTTTCTATGATTATTGCAATATTTTGCAATAATAAATATTTAAGTTCATTGTAAAAAAAACAACTATAACAACCGTTGCATATTTTCGTTACTAAATTGCAATATTTGGCAACATAAACAGATATCTTGCAAATTTGGTAAGAAATATTCAACACTTATGAGTCATTGCTAATTTGCAAAAAGGAAACTTAAAAAAATATGTGACAGTGATTATATTTTTATTATATTTTTTTTATTGGAAAAAATAAATTTTTTTCCCATATTAATTACAAAATATATAATATATATTTATATTGTATATTTTAATATGTACACTATATTTTTAAGTTTCAGATTCTTGAGATTTGTTGACAATTTTATGTTATGACTTTTTATTTGGTCTGATATGGTATGGTTACTTATTCCTATTCAAAAAAGGAAACTAGACAAAAAAATCATTTGCATATTTTTCAACGGTAATAATAGAATAAGTATGATATATATGTAACATCTTTATCTCCTTTTATTTTTTTCTTTTAAGTTAGATAAAGATATGTGGAAGGTCAGATAAAGATATGTAGATAAAGATATGTGGAAGGTTTTTATCAGAAAAAAAGGAATAAGAAAACAAAAAACTAGACACCTGAAAAAAATTCTCATCTTTTTTTAATCTCTCCATTTTTTGTCTCCAACCAGGAACTTCCCGAGAAACGTGAAACAGAGCATAGCACAACCGAGACGTTAGACTTTCTGTCTTAATCTCTCTTTAAATCCTCTGTTTAGCTCCTTAAGTAAGCTGACTCCTCTATGGCTTTATTATCTTTGTAGTTTAAGACTTATTTACTTAACCTCTATTTTATCCTGTAAAACAGATACAATTTGTTGTTGTTTCTTCCTTGATTGAACGGCTCGGAACACGGACTTACATCTACATATCATACAATTCTGCTCACACTCGGTATGATGAATCTAATATATGTGTACTTTTATTTATGCTATTCAACTAGAACTCAGAAGTCTAAATCTAGGTAACTTTGAACGGTTCAGAAACTTACGTTTACTTGTTGACATAGGTGCCATTCAGGAGTCTGTTGATACCAAATAAAGTATTCAAAAGAAAATTGAGGTAAGTATTTGTTAGAAACTTCTTGGTATATGTACTTGTGCATTGAGTTAATGATTTATTCAAGTTCTAGATTGGTTGATTGCAGATTATTTGACTTTCAAAATGTCATCGAGTAATTCTAATCGTGCTACGAGGTAATGGATGTATGCCAGAATTAAATCCAATAATAATCAAGTCTCTAATACATTTACAGAAGGATTGAAATATTTCATGGTTGTTGCTAAATAACCATGTTTTATTTACTCAGAAGCAAAAAATATTTTATCTGTGTATTAAGTGTGAGAACAGAAAATTACTGGACGAGCCACAATCATTGGCCATTTATATAACAAAGGATTTATGCCCAATTACCTTGTTTGTGTTGCACATGGAGAAGACTGTGAGGTTGACAATCACTCACGATTTGCTCAGAAGAATACAAACACGCTCATAGATGTTTCCACTCAAGCTAAAAACTCTTATGTTGAGATGATAAGTGATGCATTTAATGAGCATACATCCTCTCATGCGAGCATTGAAGAAGATCCCAACGAAGAAGCCAAAATATTTTTCAGTCTTTTAATTGCAAGCCAAAATCCAATATATGATGGATGTCGCGAAGGACATTCACAATTGTCATTGGTGGCTCGTTCTATGGCTCTAAAAACAGACTATAACTTGTCTGAGAAGTGCATGGATTATATTGCTCAAATTTTGAAAGACTACATGCCCGCTGATAACAATGCCACTGCTTCATACTATGACACAAAGAAACTGATGCAGTCTTTGGGGCTGCCTTACAAAAAGATAGATGTGTGTCAGAATAATTGTATGATCGTCTGAACAACGACGCGGACCTACAAGGCTGTAAATTTTGTGGAGCTGCCAGATTCAAAAGTACAAAAAAAGCTGGAAGAAAACAAGTTTTTTTCCGGCAAATGTTTTATCTGCCAATAGCTGATAGACTGAAAAGGTTATATCAGTCCAAAAAGACAGCTTCACATATGAGATGGCACAAAGAACACTATTCAACTCAGGATAGTAATTTAATAAGTCGTCCATCAGATGGTGAAGCATGGAAACATTTTAACCAGGTATATCCTGATTTTTCCAATGAATCTAGAAATTTCTATCTTGGTTGAATCGTAAAAGTTGCTTCTTTTGCTCATACTTGGATTCTAGACCGTGGAAAAGCTTGGAAACAAGCCTTAAACCGGTGTCAAGGTAACTATTTACATGCTTTTCGTCATATCTATGATCTGTATCGCGAAAGTAGACTGTATTATATGTCTACACTTACGTGTAGACTTACTTACGAAGCAATCTACTTGTCAACGCACAGGTTACTTTTGCAATTGACCAAAATAATTTTTTTTGTAATGTAGACCTATAAGTACGTCAATGTCTTTACCTTTGAAACCAAAAACAAAAAAAAAATGGTTGACTTACTAAGAAATCTACATTAAAGTGGTTAGATTTGCATTTAACCAAAATTTTGACTTACCATAGTAGACTTCTTGGACGTCTACACTTTGTAGACTGCTAGGGAAGTCTACGGAAGGTCAGTTTTGCATTTGACCAAAACTTCAACTTCGTTGAATAGGTTTCTTTTGTATTTGACTAAAATATTTAGAAACTGACTAAAACTTACTTTACGTGTAGACTTCATATGCAGTCAACAAATCTTAGGAAAAAAAAGTAGACTGCATATGAAGTCTACTATTTTATGTTGGTCGATTGCAAAATTAACTTGTCGGGTTATAGTGTAGACTTTTACTGCAGTCTACAGTTACATAGACATTTAGTTTTGTCTACTAGTAGAAAGTCAACTTTGGTCAATTGCAAAACTAACCTCTTTCAAACAAATTTAAAAATGTAGACTGCATAGTAAGTCTACTTCTAAAAGTCAAACTCTGAACGAATTCTGGTCAATTGCAAAACTAACATTTTTAAAAATGTAAACTAAAAAATAAGTCTACTCGTATAAAATCACATCTTTTTTTCAAATACAGAAAGTAACCCGTGAATTTGGCAATTGCAAAAATCAACCTAAACGTATACCTAATTTGCAGTCTACAAAATGTAAACAAAATAAAACGTCTACCCGTTTGTAGACTGAATATGTAGTATACCTAGAAAAATCTATCAAAAGTGGATTTGTGTATTATTCATTATGTTTTTTCAAATTATTTTTATGAAAGTGTGTGTTAGTTAATCATAAGGGTCTTGAATGATTTTCAGAAGATAATCTGTTATAATTAGGAAGTTATCAAATTTTTTGTTTGTCTATGTTGTTAGCTTAAAATTTGTAGACGTACTTGTAAGTCTATGATATAATTTTATCAAACATGAAATTTTGGTTTGCTAATTATGTAAACCGTATTGTTTNAGAAGATAATCTGTTATAATTAGGAAGTTATCAAATTTTTTGTTTGTCTATGTTGTTAGCTTAAAATTTGTAGACGTACTTGTAAGTCTATGATATAATTTTATCAAACATGAAATTTTGGTTTGCTAATTATGTAAACCGTATTGTTTTGCACGAAATGGTTCAACTACCTGTTGTATACGGAGAATGGGTGGTGAAAAACTCTTTGTGGGAGTTTGAGGTCGATAATCGGAAAAGAGGGAGAATGTTCCTTGTTCAGATTCATAACAGCATAACAGCATCCTAAAAATTACGACACTTTCTCTAACGGTTTACAAGAAAATGTATATTCGTTCCGTTTGGTTTATACATTTGATATTAACTCATGCTACATTGAGTTCATAAATAATAAAACTCCAGTTTACATAGCATTAATAAATAAGCATCAGTCTGATCTTATGGGACAGTTGAAATTATTATACGAAGACTGCTTCAACAAAACTCTTATCCAAGAAAACTCTATTCCTCAAAATATCAACAAAACCATTACATAACAAAAGTATATTTTTTTGTATACACATAGTTGAAAGCCAGTATCTCCACATGAGCTAGACAAGCAAATCAGCATAAGCATTGAGTCCATGGCTGTTCATGTTCTGCTTAAGCCTATACAATGCTCGGCTCTCTAGCTGCCTTACCCTCTCCTAAGACAGTCCATAAATCTCTCCTATCTCAAACAACGATCTCTGCTTCCCACCATCAATCCCAAACCACAGCTTGATGATCTTCCTCTCCTTGGGACTCAGCACATTGAGTAGATTCCTTACATGGTTCCTCATCATTTGCTTCCATACGCTCATGTCTGGTGTCTCAATCCCACTGTCTGGTGTCACTTCCTGTAAATGGATTATTACCATGTAATGCTCTTGGTCAGAAGTCACATTTACAAAGTTAAAAGTGTTACCTGAAAGGTGATGTCTTGATCAGACCAAATGGGTTGTTGCATTGATAGAGGTGTTCTTGTATTGTACATAAGTTTATCAAGCTTCTCTGTTGAGACACCAACGTGGCTTGCGAGTTCTTCTTTGCTTGGACGGTAGTTTGTTTGAGAGCTAACCTGCAATAAGTCCTGAAAGTTGAGTCCACGATTCTGATACTGTTTAGCTATATGAACTACCAGACGCAAGTTTGCAGTGATCAGCTTCTCCCTGCTGCTTCTGCCACGGTAGATTTCAGATTTCAAGACAGGTCCACTTAGCCACAAAGCTTCAGCCCATTCAGCTATTGTTGGCTCACGTCCATTTTGAGATTCAAGCTTAGTCTTCACCTTCTCCAACTTTATCAAATGCTGATATATCAAAAGAAGATGGAAGTTAGAATCAAAAGGAAACTCAAAGAAGAAAGGGGAAGGAAGCATGAAACAAGTCAAAGCAAATTAGACGAAGTAAGAAACCGAAAAGGGATATATAGAGCGTAACATAATCTACAAGCTATCTTTATAAAAACAAAACAAAATAGTAATAAAACAATATCAGGTAATTCTCTGTTTCATACTTTCGTTCTCTTTCTAAAGTAAGATCTAACATCCGATATGATACTAAATCTTGGTTTATCACAATGAACATATAGACAAATCTAGCGAATATATTTTTTGGTAAAATCTAGCAAATATATGATACTAAATTCCATTTTTTCGAGCAACATAAAGACTGCTCCACTTTCTAAAGTGACATACAACACTTAACAATATAGCAAAACTACAAGGGAGGACAGATGCATTTAGCAGGAGAAAATACAGTACCCGAGTGATGCGAAGGATAGCCAGTAGGAGGGTAACCAGCATGACCATATGCAGAATGATAACCTCCATAACCAGGAGCTGGAGGGTAGGCACCAGGTGGGGAGGGTAACCTTTATGCGATGGGTATCCAGCAGGTGGATAAGCCCCATGACTCGGCGGGTATCCAGAGGATGAATACCCATGAAACCCTCTGTCTTTGTCACCCATGTTCTCTCAATCAAAACCTACAAAAATAAAAGACAATAAACACCACTTACGAATAAAAAAACAACATAACCCAACCCCATTAAACTTGCACAAACCAAGCGTGAACTTCAAGCTTTCATCATGCGATCAAGCAGAAAAAACAAGATTCAAGTAACGAGCTAAACCAGGAATTTGATGAATCATTCATTAGCTTAGATATCAACGTAAGTAGTCCCAATCAAATTGAACAAACCAAACATTAATGTCAAGATTTCATAAGGGGATCAAACATATACTACATCATCGTAATGAATGAGTAGACTAAAAACTAGAAAAATATGAGAGCTTTTTTACCCGAGAGAGTGTTGAAACTGAATTGAAAGATAGAAAAATAACGAAGGTGTTTGAAGATATATACGACACAGAAGAGCTACACCAAACATCAAGAAAACAAAAACGTTTAAACATTTATAGTTCACAGATAGCAAACGCAGACTGATGAGATAGACAAAAAACCCTTACTCAAACTTGAAACTGAAAGCATTAGCCAGAAGACCAAATCGGAATACACACAGAGAGATAAAGTCGATGGTGAAGAGACTCATCTCTCTGTCGTGTTTCAGAAAGAAAAAGAAGCGTACCCAAGACTCACGGAAAGCAAAGAGATGTGTAAGAGAACATGCGCCGCCGTTCGTTCGCTGGATCTGAAGCTTTCGCTGGGGAACATTGGAGAAGAATGGATGAGAGGAATCGAGAGAGAGAGAGGCAGCTTGTTTTTTTTTTGTCGCCCCTTTTTTTTAATAAGAAAGAGTATTTATATGTCAAGTCTTTCTGGTTAGGTTAAAACTCTTTGGTTTAATTTTGGTTTGGTAAAATTATTTTGGTTAAAACTCTAGGTTAGGTAGACTTCCAAAGAAGTCTACTATAATATTTTTCTTTATTGTTTAAATAGTTTATAATATATAATCTAAAATTTTTCTTTTCATTATATATTTAGTAGACTTAGTATATATTTTTTGTTGATAAATTTTAATTCATATTTTAATTCATATTTTAATTCATAAATAAATAAATTTAATTTTCAAATATTTTTTTCAAATTAATTAATTTTAATTTTCAAATATTTTTTTGATAAACACCAATTAATGTAGACTGAAATAGACGTCTACATATAAGTAGACTTTACTGTAAGTTTACTATACCCTAAATATTGGAGCCAATATGGAAAAATAGGCTCCAAAATTCATTTTCACTTCCCGTTTAGTTAATTTTAATTTTAAAATAATTTATTTTGGTAAACACAAATTAACGTAGACTGAAATAGACGTCTACATATAAGTAAACTTAACTGTAAGTCTACTATACCCTAAACCAGAAATCTCAAACCCTAAACCCCAAATCTCAAACCCTAAACGTTTGATTGATTATAATCTGAATCATTGTACCAAATATCATATATACAAAATATAAACTACACAACATTAAATATACAATTTTGAATCATTAAAACAAAATAATTTTAAATCTAGAATCTAGCCCTAAGAATCTAACTCTAAAAGACATAACATGTTAGAACCCTTGGTTGCTAAACCATTAACATTGTCTACCACATAGTTCCCAAATCAATATAAATTCTTTTAAATTGTTCAATTATATGAAAATTTAATTTATATACCTCATACTAACCTTTAAATTGATGATTTATTAAAAAAATTACCAAAAAAAATTTTTCTACAATTTTAAAATTAAATTATTTGATTAAATTAAGATGTATACTAAATAATAAGTCTACATTAGTCTACACAGTAGACGTTAATGTAAGTCTACCTAGTTGTAGACTTCTTTCTTAAAGTGTAGACCTCCGAAGGACAAAATCATAAAATATATTTCGCGTTTTTTGTTTGTTCATAAGGGTTAAATAGTAATTTTAACACCCTTTTGGGTTGGGTTTCCAATTGATTGAATATGGGGTACACTTTTAGGGTTAAAATGAATATTTGGGTTGGTTTTCGCAATTCCCCCTATTGTTAATTTCATATAAATTTAGTTGTATCGGATATATGATGGATAAAATTGATTGTTTTTATTTATTTAACATAAAATGATTGTTAATAAATAAGAGTGGTCGTTTGATTTAAATGCACGCACCAGATTATTTATATACGTAATAGTGATTGAGTTCTCAGTTATTCAATCTATACATTTCTTATTTATTATTTCTAAATATGTAGAAAAATACAAAATAAATAATAGTATACAAATATAATTTGTAAATAAAATTTTTATTCTACGCAGATCTTATATAAAAAGTTAGGAAAAGGAAAGGAAACACAATTTTATTTGTATAATTTCACCATATACAACAAAATCATGAATGAATAATATATAAAGTAAGATCCACGATACTTACAACTTATTCCCCCACCATTTATAAATGATTATAAAAACAATCTCAAATTTTATTTTATTTATAGATCCACCAACATATCAATTTCTTTTTTTTCATAACTAAATGTTTATATTTTGTTTTTTAAATTCACTCCGCGGAAGGCGCGGATCTTATCCAAGTACATTTGTTAAAGTTATTGAAAAAAATAAACATCTGTCAAAGTTAATATAAGATTAATATGGTTTAAGGAGTATCTCATTTTGCTTAACTTTTCTTTTACTCGGACCGTGACTGCTTATCTTGCTGGTTCCGAGTTACTATAGAAACCTGGTTTCAATTAAATCGTAAAACCGATTAAAAACTGGTGTAATTCAGCAAAATGGGTGACCTAGCTCAAGATCAAAATACAGTTATTTAAAAATATAAGTAAAAGACATTAAAAATACAAATTAAGCAATTGTGTAAACAAATTCACATTAATGCATGATAATATCAAATTAAGTTATTTCAAATTATATTTTATATTATTTTATAATTATACTACTGATTATATAAGTTAATTATTAATTAAAATGGAATTAAATAAGCCTGGTTAAACTGGTTAGACCAGTCTGACCGTTGGCTCAGTCACAAGACAAAATCAGCGTCCGATCCGATTTTCAAAACATTGGATTTCTGTTAAAATAAAAATTATACTTTAATTATAAAAATCATCATAATTTGACTATATAATCACTAAAAAGTTTAAATCAAAACTTTTTCTTTGTGGAGTTTGAAATGTTTCATCACTGAACATATGGTATGATATATTTATCATCTATTGGACTCTTTTTGTGAGAACTATACTTTTATAGCAAAACAAATTGTGTAATTGGTTTTAGGAGCAGTCAAACCCTTTCTACCTCCTGTTCTACAATATATATGGAGAGGAGTCACTGTTTCAAGGATCAATATTCAGGGATTGAAGAGTTTAAAGATCCTAATTTTGTAACATCCTTCTAGAATATGTAGAGAATATGAAAGCTTTTGTAAATGTGTTCAAGGCTAAATAACTTGAGTCTTTTAAATTATGGGTTTCAACTCTTTTGATCTTACTGTTCCTATGTGGATCCAAGCAGTTCCGAGCTCATTTTCATTATGTTTGAATGCAAACATTCTAACTCCAAGTAACTTACACATAACCTATCCTATACCCGGACAAGACTGGATTTCTTGTAGACCAGAAATCTCTTGCGAGTAACACCGCTATTTAGTTACTCTTTTTTTTTTTTGTAGGCAGCCCGCTATTTAGTTACTCATGTTCAGCTATCAACTATTCATCCTCGGATATCAAGACAGTGCAAGACAAGGAAACTAGACAGTAAGCATGTTCAGATGGTCATTCTTTATCATTTCAGAGAAGGCATCTTGACGGCTGACTATCAAAACAAAAGAATATATAATTGCATTTGTACTCGACGTATCTCTTACATCAGAAACCATATACAAAAGAGTATTAAAGCATTGCTCAAAACATGGAAATTATAAAAAAAAATTATTATTTAAAATATTTCAAAAATGCTAAACACTCTTTCATACTTTTAGGGGGTGATTGGTAGTTGCTGTATAGGTGCTGTCCACAGCTCTTTTTATTTCTACAGCACTAAATTCAGAACAATCAAGCTTTAAATTTTTTTTTGAAACCACAGCTCTTGAAATAACTTACAGCTATGCAAGTGCTCTACAGAGCCAAATATCCAAAACAAGTTTTTAGTGCTTTCCAAAAAATCTACAGCAATTTAATCTAAAGCCACAGCAAAAAGTCTACAGATTTTTTTCTACAGCAAAAATTTTAAAACTACAGCCATTACCAATCATACTCTTAATCTTGTGATTTATTTAGCTCGTCAATTTGATTAAATATTGATATTATATTTATTTAGATACTGTTGATATAACCAACAATAATGCTTTTACAGTTTAATAGTTTACAATTTTCTTTTCTTTTTTTGTTAAAGGACAATTTACAATTTTCTTATAACAACTTTTATAGTTTACAATCATCTGGTATAATTTGCACCTATACCTTCTTCATGCCCAATTAGTGAGTTAAATTTTCTCTAACTAAATAGTACACATAATTATAATATTTCGACTTTAGTATAAAATCATGTCTCTCTAATATTCTACAAAATCTTGAAAAAAAAATCATTTTTTGAACTTATGATTGGAATATTTTCTAACTCACGAAGATATAATTTATTTTTATTTTATTTATATGATGAAACAAATGCTTAATTTTATTTGTTACTGAATTTGTGGATGAATGTTTATCTTTTACTTGTATTTTTTTATACAGTGTCAAATATTGTATTTTATTTTTAACTTAATTGGTGGATGAATGTTTATCTTTGACCTAATTTGTGGGTGAATGTTTATCTTTTACTTGTATCAAAATTTTTAAAAAGAAAAATTCACAATCCTCCTATAAAAGTAAGATTTTACCCCACTCATATAGAGAGAGAGAGAGAGAGAGAGAGAGAGAGAGAGAGACGTGTCCCAGTTAGATTCTCCTTCAACTTTAACCTATTTATATATCTCACAGCTCTGTCACTTTTACGCCAAATTTCATCCCTTCTAGATTTCGCACGTT